AGTCTTAGGAATAAACAAATAGATATGCTTTCATCTTTAATAGTATGGATGTATCTCCTCCCATAATCTTATCTTTGGACATAATTGTTTATTTTCCTGCATGTTTTAATGGGAATAATCATATCACAGCCAGCTGTAAAAAGGATCAAAGGTTACTGCCGTAGAATTGTCACACTGAACTTTTACTACACAAACATGAAACAGCTAATTTGTTCACTGACCCACTGTTTGAGATGTACAGTATTAAGCAGTCATCACAACATTTTCCAGCTTTGCTCTGTGTTTTCTGGAGCACACTTATTTTGAATTACATATCCAATACAAACATCACAATAAAAAAATGCAATATGAGGTGAGTTAGCATATGAAACAGGAGTAACAAGTGAATCATTAGCTAAGGTTCACATTGGCATCTAGAAAAAAAACATATGGCCTAAACCATTGGTTATATATGAAGGCATATTAAATACTCACCTGAAATGTTCACTGTACAAAAGCAGAATTAAATACAGATCTTGGGTTTTCATGATCTAACACAGATGACAGAGCACTCTTCAAAAGAGACCATTCAAAAAAGATTTTAAAGACTCTTACTGAAAGCATGAAGTGCGTATCACTGTGGAAGACACAGATGATAAATCCTAAGCCAAAGGGCATTTCTAGATGTTCAAATGTCTTCCTAATAAACTGAAAGGAAAGATCTTGGTATAAGAGTGAAAAGATAAGGGAAGATCTCTATTTAATAGTTTCTCCAGAAAATAAGAATTACAGGCATGTAATTTACTCATTCTCCTGAAGAAAGTAACTACAGATCTTCATGGATATGATTCATAGAGAGAGGATGACAACCTTTTCAGAATCTTAAAAGCTGAACATACAGGGCTATGTTCTGCCTGAAGCCAAGAAAGAAAATAAGAACTTGGCCCAAAACTTTATCTTCCAAAACCAGAAAACAACAAGAAAGAGTTTGTAGAAATAAATAAAGCATTATAAATTAAGAAGTAATTTTTTAATTACAAAAGAATGCATTTATTTAGAATATTTGAAGCTTATTTGTAAGGTTGGAGTTTTCACCTCTCATTTTTCTGTAAGTTCTATACTCTAGAAGATCCACATTTTTAAGGTACACACAGCTAATAAAAATATCACTGATTTAAATAAATAAATAAAGGGATCTTATACTAGCAGAATAGTCCTGGCAGAACAAACATTTTTCTGATGTTTAACACAGATTAGATCTTCAGCAAGCATTTCTGTTGTCATTATTGTTGTCACAGGACCCAGGTCTCATTCACCTAATCTCCAACCAGGATATTAATTAAAAAAAACCACAAACTTTTCTGCACAAAATAAAACAGTTTCCATTCCACTTACACTGGGCTACTGCAATGTCTTCTATATTAAAAGCTATATGGAAAGTCATAAAATGAGGTGCTAGCTTTTTATGGAACTTCTAAACCACTTGCTAGGAATTACTTTCATTGCTATAGGGTTTGCATTGTTTGAAGAGAAATTTTTAATGCAGAAAGGAAGGGGAAGAAAACGTGGTACAGCACCTCTATGTCCTTTTTAGTATCTAAAGAGGAAAAATTTTCTTTCAGTAGCAGTTAACATGGCACCTGTATATTTTTCAGTTCTTGCTTTTATTCTCAAAACATTTCTAGATAGTTATTTCCCTCCTTAAGCAGGTAAAGCAAACTGAATTACAGGATGAATGAAGTAGAGGAGGAAAGAATCAGGCCCGGTGTTGTAAAAATCTGACATGTAGCTTGAAAAATTTTCAAATCTCCACACTTCACAATTTTTCCATACTCAAATGTGAGGTAATTAGAGAAACTTTTCAGTATAAAATTAAAAAAGATGCAATGATTTTCTATTGTTACTCAGATTAAGTAGTTTTGCCTGAATGTGAACTTGCTGAACTTTCCAAAGGCTGTTAGATCTGCCAAGATGGTATGATCAGCCTTGTCTCTTCCTTCAGAATGAAGAATTTGTAAGAACTGCAACAAAGACTTGGAAAAAATTGCTGAAAACTAGCAAAGGTTGAAAAGTCCTATCTTTCATGCAATTTGAGACCACCTTTATATCTTTATGAAACTTGCATAACTAGGATGAGTCATTTGTGAAACTTTGTCTGTCAGTGGTCTTCTGAGAGATCTATCCAGTACAGAAACACTCTTCCATTCAGAGAAGGAGAACATGCATCCATCCAGAGAAGCCCTATACTATATTTATAAGACAACAAAATAACTACATGAACAAAAGTAGACAAAAAAAGAAAATCAGAAGTAGATAGCTGGTCTCTTTGACTTAGTTATGTGCATTTTTCATACACCTTTCTTTAAAGAAAATTCATGCATGTCTTCATAGAAATAAGTCTGACATTTCAGTATGAAGAATCAACAGTGGAAATCCTTTCTCTGGTGTCTAGGTTTGAACCCTCTGTTTTGAGAGAGGATTCGAAAAAGAAAAAAATGTCTTTACTGCAAAGTTTTTGTCAGTTTGGATGAGTTTTTATTGGAGCATTACAAGGGAGACCTTTCAGTTATCTGAAAAAAACCCAATCAAATCTATTGTAGATTCTTTATAACTGTTTTAGGAGTGAAGGCTTTTGTTGAGTGCTGTGGCTCTCTGTCCAATAATGACTGAATAGAAAATAAGCAAAACTAAAGATAATCTAATATACAGCACAAGCATATGATGGTGAAAACTGGTCTTGTTAGGATTTGAATGACCAATCTAGTCATGAGAGTCTAGAGTTTATTCCTAATCTTACTGTCATCCTCTTACATATATAAAGTGAGGGGATGCTCTACCTTCTTCTTCCGCATCTCCAGAAGTGCATTAGACATCAGAGGATTCTTGCAAATCCTCCAGCTCCCCAAGGATGCTACAGACATCCTCATCTTCTTCCATCAACTCTTCTTTAGCTGGCTTCCTGAGAAATGCAGTACAAGTGTATGAATTCACTTGGATGGGCCACAACACATAGCGCATCAAAAATGCGCTCAACTCAAGGTCCATCCAACAGTGCGTCTAATTTGACCTGCGTGTAAGTTCATCACTCTCCAGTGGACACCTTGGGACTATTTTTGAATCTGTTGGCCCATTGCCTTTTTTCATTATCATTCCACAGATGTGAAACGGATGTAAAACTCAAAGTCACTGAATAAACAAAATGAGAAAAAAATCACAGAGGCCTCTTGGCAGGAGAGAAACAATACATCCTACTGAAGATATTTCTACAACTAAGCGCAGAAAGGAAACTAAGAAGGTGGATGTTAGCAAAGAAATATAATTAACGTTCATTTTGTTTTAAATAGTATAAAAGAATAATAATTTGTCTGTGAATTAAGTGGACAAAGATATGCAGAACTAAAAGGTACCTCTCAGACTAGAAAAAGAGCTGAAAGGATGTAATTTGGTTTTTTGTGCTTGTAGATGTTTACACTCACCACAACCAGAAAGACATCCTGACAGAAATGCCAACAGACAACACTCCTCCTATAGCCATCAGGAAGAAAAGAATGCACATTTAGAGGTCATCTTTTCATAAAGATCACCGTTACCTGGGCACCTGTTTGTCACCTTTATACTGTAACAATTTGAATTTTCTCTAATGATGAGTGCTCCTGACTCAAGAGTCAAGACACACAACCTCAAAGCTGAAGATCCGTATTTAATTACTTACCACAGAACTTTGGGAATTTACCCAAACCCTTAATCTCTCTAATGTCAGTTTCCACCTTCTTTATTTTTTGCTCTGCAGATGCACTAAAGAGACCTAACTGTCCCAGTTTCAGTTAACTGCTTCCCCATATTTTTTCTAGAATGCATGGCTGCATCTCTTTCTCCAGAAAAAAAATGTATAAATTTTTAGATGGGAAAAGGGAGAAAGTACTGTTTATCTTGAACGAAAACAAAAATAAAAATCCTCTGAGATAAAAATGTTCTTTAAAAGATTCTTTAATGAAAAAATATTTTTCTTAAGTATTCACCTCTTTTTCTTGTAAGCATCATGTAAAACATTCACACCTGATATGGCAAGTACATATTTGTCTTTCAGAGCTGCACTCTTCTGCAAGCTGGCACAAATACTTGATCTTAGAAAGATCAAGCAGAAAGCACTAGAGTGCTATAAAACCTGCTACTTCACTGCAATGAGAAAGGTGAAATAATTCAAATAATTTTTTTAGCACTACAGGACAAATATTACTAGATAACCTAATCTGTACTATATTTAGCACCATGATTCAGTGCAAATATTTAGTATATTAAAAAATGAAATGAATTTTTGTATTTAGCAAAAGTAGGGGAGAGTTTTAAATGAAAAGATAGGTATTTCCAAGAAATCATCCATAGCAGCCAACACATACATTTCAATATTTAAGGGATGCTTAGGCCCTTACCACTAAAAATAAATCCTGTACCACATTTTTCATTACCTAATAGAAAAGAAAATAATAAGAGATATATATATGGTAGTGCTAGAACAGAAAATACTTTTTTTTTTTGGTTAATCAAATGGTACTTTATACTTTAGACTCAAAATTTTAAATTATTCTGTTATTGCAGAAGTGGCAGCAACAATATATTTCTGACAAAATAAATCAGTATGTTTTAGAAAGCCTTCATAACATTTTGCCAGCCATTGTCACAGCTAGCATTTTCCAAGTAGCACTATTTTATGAGCTGTCATCACTGAAGTAGAAAAGGAATGTCCATTCACAGTAATCTCAAAAAAAGCATTCCTATTTTTGCATATTATAATTTTATGATCTTTTCACTTTATCTCTTCTGCTATACACACAGAGCTTTGTTCAGTTCACCTATTTTATTTTTTCATGTGTTCCTCCTTTGAAAACAATAAAGCAATTAACAAGTACCATTGTTCACACACACAAACACTCTGTGGCTTTCCTTATAACATTATCTTGCCTTGATGAAAGATTAAGCTTTTTTTTTTTTCTAGACGATGTGGGCATTTACTTTTAGCATACCTGGGTTTGGATTCTGTTGAGCCCTCTGAACCAGAGAATTTGTCCACGTCGAAGTTCTCTCTCTGCATGATCAATTTCTTCAACATCTTCATTGAGTTCTTCTTCAGGGACCTCCTCCTTCTCAGTGAGCCTCCCTGCCTCCTTTAAAAACTTTAGCCTACTTGTTGGGATGGTTGCAATGACCTAAAATTATAAAAAAGTACTCAAAACATAAGCCTTATTCAATAATGATAGTATAATAATCTGGTAATTACAAAAGAACACTATATTTTAATGACAGCTATAATCTTTCAGGAAAGCTAAGAGGAGCATATTCATAACAGTACTTCACACTTACACAACTCCATTTTAGTCCAAAAATACTTAGTTTACTGTGTAAACAATTAGCATTACTTGCATTGTCAAACCACACTGGCAATACACAGCTCTGGAGCAAGTTTAAGGCTGGGAAAAATGTTGTCCTTTCTCAAAAAACTAAAAGAAGATGTAAGTATTTGAATGTAATTATTTAAAGAAAACTTAGCAAGATTTGTATTTCTGCAAATAGAGTTTTGGTATTTCTAATGACTGATGATAATCTCATGTATGTACACTACGTTGGTTCATGTATTCGACTTCCCTTTGCTTCAGCAAGTTGAAATGCTTTTCTTAACATTTATAAAAAATGAGGTTTCTGAAAGGTGCGGACTTGACCATGACCCCGTTGGACTTCTTATAGGGCTATCTCTTATGCTGTGTCCTTATTACTAATAAATTCTGATTAACTCGGCCCGCCTTCTTATTCTGTTTGTCCACCAAAGTGGTCCATGGAAGTAATTAATACAGGAGATGGCTAATAATCTTAAAAATTTGCAAATGCTGCAGTTAGACAATGTTATAACACAATTATTTTAAACACATTTCAGTGTTACCCTCTTGGGCAATCATTTTCTCTTTGTTCTGATTCCTTTTGTCAGCTTGAATAAAAATATAAGCAGATGGCTATTTAAACAAGACACTACCTGGAACATATTGAATGCTTAAAACCAAAAAATCTCCTACAAAGTTAACTGTTAGACTCATTTAGCAAAAAAGTGATGCAGTTTTCTTTTTTGTTTGTTTTTGTTTCAGCAGCGAGCAATCACATCTCTGAAGCCCAAATGTGTGAAAGATGGAGATAGAATCAGACAGTTGCAGGAAAGTTGGTGAGGATCTATCTTACAGTTTTGGAAAATTGGAATGGATATAGTGAAGACACATAAAAGGCACCAAATATTTTCAGGATGAAAATAAACTGTTGAGTTTGCTGAGGGTGTCCTTGAACTTCATGATCCACAACTCCACTTTCATTATATTATTCTTCAAGACAGATAAAGACATGTCAAAAAAAACCCAAGAGTTTCTGACTACTACAGAATCTTTTTAAAATGTATTTTGGGGTTTGAAAAACAAGATCTGAACTTGGAAAAATAATGAATTGGTATGACACAAGCAAAAACAGGAGAGGATGAAAAAAAGAAAAGGTAAGTGCTAGTCATTTACATACTTACTGAAACTCCTTCAGCTTCCCAGCTTTCAAAACACTATAATGCCAGCACTCTACAGAAAGAAGCTACTTGAGGCTGTTCGGTATCTGACGAAACTGATGGTGATGAAGTACTTGCAAGACAGTACACAGAGAAACAACTGCATTTGGTAGTGATTCTGGGTGATAGAACATACCTCTCCTTCACAATCTCTCTCAGCCAGGCTGATAGATTCTGCTCTAATTCTTTTCTTAGGGTGTTTACGTGTCTTTCTGTTTGTTCATTTGTTTTCCATATCTGCAGACATCTGCCCAGTTCACATAATGGCAGATGCAATAGACTGGATGTAGATTAAGGAACTAAATATTATTCCCAGGAAAACTATCACAGTTTTTAAAAGTGATCAATAATTCTGGGAATGTAACACAAAATATTTTAGAAAGACGGTTTTCAGAAGTGATGAGGGCCACCTTTTAGAAAACTGTCCCTCAAAGCATCTCAGATTGGCTTCCTAGAGATTACACCTTAAATCACTTTTAAAAGTGCCAACTTTAACATCTAAACTTGAAAATCTTGATTGTTTTTAGTGGTTCACAAGAA